AGGTTTTTTTATTTTCTCATTGCATTAGTTTTGGACAATTGCATTGTTTTTTTATTAATGGTGTTAAGTCTTTGAATTTGTTGATTTTTGGACGCAAGAGGAATTATATAAAAGCAATCCTTCATTGATTTATACACGTGTTTCTGGATACGGACAAACTGGTCCATATGCAACAAAACCTGGATATGCATCTGTTTGTGAAGTATGTTATTTAATCAATGTAGAATATTATTGCAATCGTTATTTCTGCTCACCTTATGAATAAATTAAATCAATGAAAAACAAGGGAATGGCAGGATTTCGTTACATTAATGGATTTCCGGGAGGACCACCTGTTCGTCCTAATATGTCACTTGGGGACTCCGTAGCGGGACTCACAGCTGCATTAGGAGTAACTCTGGGTCTCCTAGCAAAGAATAAATTGGCTAACGCTTCAAAAAGTGTTACAGGTCAGGTAATCGACGTTGCTATTTACGAGTCAATGTTTAATATGATGGAAGGGATATTGCCAGAGTATGATCGATTTGGCGAGGTGAATAAAATTTTATTTTTCTTGCGTCTATTAAAAAAACCATTAGATAATTAAACGAATAATTGATGAATGTTTAGATACGACAACCATCAGGCACGACCTTAACTGGAATTGTACCCACGAACGCGTATCCATGTTCCGATAACAAATATGTAATAATCGGTGGTAATGGCGATGGCATTTACAAACGATTAATGCGCACTGCGGGCCGAGAGGATTTAACAACATCTGATTACGAAACCAATAAAGAGCGAGTAATTCATAAAGATCTGATTGATAGCGCGATTTCGGACTGGACGCGAACTTTAACGGCTAAAGAGGTCGTTGAGAAACTAGAAAATGCCGGTGTGCCTACCGGCCTAATTTATAATATTGAAGATTTTGTTAATGATGAGCATGTGAAAGCGCGTGGTATTTTGGAAGTTGTTCGTGTGGAACGGCGTGGTAAAATAGAGAAAAGCGGGAGCGAGAAGAGTAATAATAATGAAAGTGATAAAGATGATGACGGGTGGGATCTGACGGTAATTAATTTATAAACTTTATTTGTTTAGTGATTAAGAATGATAATAGTAACATCTGAATTTGTAAAATTTGTTATAGATACCAGCTATTACTCCGAAACTCGAAAGTACACCGGGAGAGACATTATGGGCAGGACCTGATGTTGGACAACATAATCGCGAGATATTTTATGATATTTTAGAATTGAATGAGGATCGGGTAAAAGAGTTACAAGCGAGCGGGGTGATTGGAGAAACTATATAATTCTTTTAATTCTTTTATTAATATAATCATTGAAAAAAAAATACTTTATTTGTCGATCAATAATTTTATTTATTCTTCTTATGCTTAATTCTAAAAGATTTGGCTGCTCGAGTCAATTTTCAGCATTTGAATATGGCTGATATTCTCTAGCTCGGATAAATCGGTGGATTTCAAATTTCCTAATCTGTAGTAATTCAATAGGAGTGTGCAAAATAATGAAAGAATGCAAACCAAAAATTTGACTCTGTGATGAAAAAAGTGAGATTATGAGAAATTCGATACATAAATCTTTCTTTGGCTATTAATTAAAAATGTCGGGCGAGCAATTTTATATATAGTTTGTCTCCAATCCAATACCTTACCCTTATCTTGATTCCAATCGGGCGTAATGAAAATTCAGAATTCAAATTAGAAAATTTGAATTCGGTTCAGTAAAACTGATCGCATTTCGATTATGATTAGGGTTAAACAGTTATCATTTTTCTAATATAATGACTAGAGATAATTAAGAATTTTAATAATAATCCATGAGTTATTGCTCGTATAAAATGTCTCTCTTATTATTTCGATTAGTCCCACTCTTTTACCCGTTTGTCCAGCCGCGCTTTTTTTCTGCGATGCACCAGGTCTAATCCCTCGCCATGTATTTCACCACATCATTGAGAAATTCTACTCCATCAGCCCAATACAAGAATGTGACTATAAATAGATTTGACTATATATTTTTTACCATTAAGAATATTGTCCTATTATTACAATAGAAATAATCGCTAATAAATATAATACAGTGGCGACCAAAAGTAATGACTCAGGGGCTAAATTTACTAATAAAACATAGTGAAAATTGAAATTTTCTCTCTATATAAAAATTTATAATTTTAATAAGAAATAATTTTTATTTTATATTAAAATAAAGTTTATCAGTTGTAGTTTAACATACATTTTTTTCAGATTTTTTAGATTTTTTCTGAAAGAGTTGCTCTAATTGTAAAGTTAATGAAAAAATTTTTACTAATTAAAAATAAAATTTAATTAATAAAAATTTTTACACTAACTTTACAATTAGAATAACTCTTTTAGAAAAAATCTAAAAAATCTGAAAAAAATGTATATTAAACTAAAACTAATAAACTTTATTTTAATATAAAAATAAAATTTATTTCTTATTAAAATTATAAATTTTTATATAGAGTGAAAATTTTAATTTCATTATATTTTATTAGTAAATTTAGTTCCTAAGTTATTACTTTTGATTGTCACTGTATATGTAAAGCTATATTCTGCTTTCAAGATTCAATTTTAGATCAAAGACAAAGATAATGATTTATTTTCTAAAATTTGGGCTTTTGAAAAAATATGCTTAACATGTAAAATATTTATTTCTTGTCCTCTTTTGAGTTCTCTAGCTTTCTTAAAATTTTCTCTAATATATTCTCAATAATATTTTATTGCAAAAGATAGTTTGAAAGATTATTACATAGATTATTAATATCAATTAACAGAATTTTATATAAATTACCTGAAGTAATCACTCTTAATAAATATTTCTAAGATATAGATAATTCTTATTATATTTAGAAAAATTTAATTTAGTAATAAATATCTTTACATAAGTGTTATCTTAAAAGAATAGTATTAATATAATTATAAATTTATTTAAATGCTCTTATTTCATCTTTTTTCATATTTATATTAATATAATACTTATAATATTTTCAACTTGTTATCATTATTATTCATATTATTATTATAATTGCTTTTCATATTATCATTATAATAAAAATAAGATTAATATTATTATTATAAAGAATTAAATATTATAAATTTAAATTTATTAGATTATTATAATTATAAAGACTTTTAAATAACAAGACTAAATAAAAAAGATTATATTTCAGTTCTTTATTATCTTATTATTTAATAATAATATAATTTCAAATATATATAGTTAATAATATATTTAGTAAAAGCTTATTAAATTTAGTTTATTAAATATAATAAGTTTTAAATTAAAATAGTATTAATTTATATAATTTTATATAATTTTAATTTTATTATAAATTTTATATGACTTATAAATTTTTATATTAAATCAAGAGAATATATTCTTTATAAGGATTAAAAATATTAATATTATTATCTTTATATAAAATTTTATAAAAAAAAATAAGTAAATTTTATTATTATAAAAATAAAATAATCTAAAATCAGATTTAAATTACTTAAATTATATATTTTATTTATTATAATATAAAAACTTTTAAATAACAAAATTAAGTAAAAAAAGAATATGTTTTTAGTTTTTTATTATCTTATTATCTAGTAATAATATAATTTTAGATATATATATAAATAACAAGATATTTAATAAAATATTTCATGTAGAATAAGTAATATACAATTTTTAGTTTATAAACATGTGAGTTTTAAATTAAGATAGTATTAATCTATAATATAATCTTGATATAACTCAAATTGAGATATATAATCTTATATAATTTTAATTTTATGATAAATTTCTTATAACTTATAAATAAAATCATATGAAAAATATCTAATAATCATGAAATTTGTTACTCATAAGTGATCAATTGACAAATTTGATATAATTTATCTAGAGTGGTATCAAGAAATATTGAGCTGAGAATCTCTTTCTATTAAAGAGATCATATTAAATAAAAAAAATAAAAAAGATATAAAGAAGCAATAAAATGAAAGTTTTTGATATAAGATATGAAAAGATGTTTACTTTTATTTTAGAAAATATGTATTATATAGGTTGATAGATGCACTGCTTATTTTATCAATCACTTTTATTTATTATATAGAATATCCTAGCCATGGCGAAAAGAAAGTCACAGGTCATATTAAAAATATCACGTGATTTTTTACGGAACAAACCAATCAAATCGCCAAGATCAATTTGTAACGGAAAATCAAAACGAAGTGTTAGACGTCGATCAACAAAGATGTAAAAAAAATCGGATATACTATAATATAGGGCTGTTTTAAGAACTCTAACATAGAGGAAAATTTAAGTTTTCTGACATTATTTGTGCTCATTACATGAGCGGGAAATCGATCCTACGCCCTGTCAAATTCACAAAAAGCTAATTATTATTCATATCTTGCGATTTTGATGCTCCTGACCCATGCAGATACTATTCATAACTCTAACCTTTTAATGAAAACGCTATTAACATTTCATATCTTACGATTTGATTGGTTTTACCCCCTAAAATTCACATGATCCATGACTTATTTTTAAAGAAATGAAAAATTAGTTATAAGAAACCTTACATCTCTTCGCATCGATTAAGGATGAGTGTATATGTCATGAATGTCATAATATATCAATCCAATCGCAAAGATCAGGCGCAAAAACTTAACATTAAAATATATTTTTTTATCTGTAAAACTAACCTTGAATATGTCTTTAATAAAGTTTCTATTGTCTGATAGTATTATCTTACTTTAATGTTCTCTCATATATGAAAGGTGGGGTGGGGGAAAAAAATCCCCTTCTTCAAAATTTGCACAAAAAATGTATCAAGTATTTTAATAAAACGAACGTTTATCTTTGAAAATAGCTATGAAATTATCCTACATTTAAAATGTGTTAAAATTATGGAATTTCATTTAAAGGAAATTTTGTTCTAAATAAAACTGCCAATGATCACCATAGGCTATTATTGGTTATCCGTTCTAATGACTCTGAATACTTCCCATTGATCAATCTCATAGTTGCCTTTAGGTAATATAGCTGGTTGTTCATAAAATCCATTTTCTTTAACGTAACAAAAGACACGAGGAAATCTAACGTCGTCCTCCATTCCATAATCTGGCTCATCAGTATGTAAATTTCCATGATCATAAATAAAGCCCAAATCTTCACCAAATTTCAACAGCATGCCATTGGGATATATGTTCACCTGAGACATCGCTTTATCAAAATTTTTAACTCGGCTTAATTGAGGATTTGTTCCAGACCTATCTTCACTCGAGAAAATAAAACTTTCCGATGTGTGAACATATTTATTCTTACAATTTGTTAAATCTCGCTTCCAATTAATAGGATTATAGGCACCAATTATTTTTCCAGAATTTTTAACCCTCATTATCATTAGTGAAGGTCCGTGGTGGCATTTCATTGTTGGCAATTCTCTATATGTTGATTGGTTATAATATTTACTATACAAAGTTCTATCATTGCCCTTGCGAAACAAAAGTGTAAATTGGAATGGCATGTCAAAATTGGTATATGAATCATCTACTCCATCAATCCATTTCGCAATCAATCTAGCAAAACTGTTGTTAATAAGTTCAGTTGATCCAACAAAAGGTGAATCAATTCGAAATGGCACTACACTATTTTTTCTGCTATTAATGATTTTTGGTTCAATAGGTGAATATAGTTGAGATGGAACAAAATTATCTTTTCTAGTGACTCTAAAAATTTCCCATTCGTCAATTTTGTAATCGCCTTCAGCTATTATAGTTGGTTGCTCATAAGATTCATCGTGCCTAACACGACAGATAACACAAGGATCCGTCCTACGTCCTTCATCATAAACAAATCCTAAACCGCCAAAACTTAAAAGTATACCTTTGAGGACTTCGATATCTGAATAATGCGAGCGAGAAGTAATCTTATTTGCACCAATTGCATGATAAAAATCTTTCATAACACGGCTTAACCGATGATTTGATCCATGTATATCTTCACTTGAAAAAATAAAGCTATCTTTCGTATATACATATTCATCATCACTTGATCTTTGTTTCCAATTGATGGGATTATAAGCTCCAATTATCTTTCCTGAATTTTTAAGTTTCATGATCATCAGTGAAGGTCCATGATGACACTTCATTGTTGGTAATAATCTACCTGTTGATTGGTTATAATATTTATTATGTTCTTCATAGAAAGTTGTATTATCGTTCATACGAAATAAAAGCGTAAATTGGAATGGTATATTAGATCCAGTGTACTGAGCTTTCATAGGGTCCTCTCTGTCAATCCATGTCGCAATCAATCCAACAAACTCGCTATCAATAATCCTTATTTCAAGTGGATTAATGCGAGGTGGAACTTGATGTTTAACTTCGTCTATCACCATCATAGGTTGGCCATCTTTTCTACTGACTCTATAAATCTCCCATTGTTCAATCTCATAGCTGCCTTCATCCATTATAGTTGGTTGCTCATAAAATCCGTTCTTAACATAACAACTGACATTACTGAAAGAATATTTCTTAGAAATTATTAAATCTTCACCAAATTTTAATAGCACACCACTGGGATTTACACCCTCTAGACAAATTGCGTGATCAAAATCACGAACTCTGCTTAACCGATGATTTGTTCCATACATATCTTCACTTGAAAAAAGAAAACTTTCTGAAGTACAAAGATATACATTCTTTGGTAAATCTTGCTTCCAATCGATAGGATTGTAGGCACCAATTATTTTTCCGGAGCTTTTAAGCTTCATTATCATTAGCGAAGGTCCGTGGTGACATTTCATTGTTGGTAAAGATCTATCTGAGGATTTATTGTAATATTTATGGTGTTCTTGATAGAAGGTTGTCTGATCGTCCATACGAAACACAAGCCTAAACTGAAATGGATTATTAGATGCGGTGTATGGGGCTTCAATAGGATTCTTTCTGTCAATCCATGTCGCAATTAATCCAGCAAATCTGCTACTAATAATTCTTGGTTCAATAGGTGAATTAATGCGACGTGGAAGTTGGTATCGAACTTCTGGCAATATTTGTTCAAACTTGAGAATTGTCAACTCTTCTTCATTACTCAAGTTGACGTATCGAATCAGTGGCAACCCCTTCTCTAAAGTAACTCCCAATGCATTGATCTGAGATGTGTTATCGGTTAAAGTATCGAAATCGGGGGTGTTTGCAATGCCCCACTCGATCAATTTATTAAAAATTATTATTTCGGGCAAGTAAATCGCGTCCAGCTTTAAGATACTCAGCAATATTTCCTCGTCAATCGATGGAAATGTTGGAGATTCAAATAAAATCAATGGCCTTTCTGCCACGATATCTTGACAAAGTAAATAGAGGTCTTGAGCGGATGCAATGCGATAAGAGGTTCGTAATATAGAAATAATATCTTCATCACACCAGTTCTTGTTTATATCTCTTTTTTCATTTAATTTGGATCTTAATAAGTCGAAAAACTCATGGAGGAGAAGAATATCGGATGCCAGCATTAATTCCATCAAAATATCCGTGTTCAGATTTTTCAAAATGATCGTTCCGCTACAGATACCCCTACGAATTTCAAACCATATTATTATTATTTAATAAAGTTAAAAAAAACGACGAATGAATGAATTCACGAACGATCCTTACTTTAATATTATTTCAAAGGCATCAGATGAACCATCCAATCTTAGCTTATACTTATCATCAATTTTTCTTGTCCATTTTTCTGATAAAGCAACCTTAAAATATTCGCATCTTCTACGGAGCACGCTTGAATGCGCATTGAAATCCTTGATATCGCCGGATGTTCTATCATGGATTTCTATAAGAGTATCATAAGGATCGTTGATTACAGAAAGATCTAAGGAATCTGAAGATAGCTCTGGCAAGCGATAAGAAAGCATTTTGGTAAATCGAAGATATTTTGAAAACGTGACTTGTCGAATTATCATTCATTATTTGTCTATTTAAGGTTTGTGTCATGTCGTATCATAAATTGTGCATTGAATGCGGCGTGCAATTCAACGCCTCGTTCATTATTAAATTTCCACTATTGAAAAAAGAAAATTTTTTGTGGCACTATGCAGTATCGACTATCTCTCGACAAATTTATATGATCTGCATTATCATCTCTAATTAAACCTTACAAATTAAGGGCATTTTCTTCGATGGTGGTAGTTGGTTAGTGATTGAGATGATGTTGATCAATTAAAAAAAGATCAATTCAATCTCATTCCGTGATAGAATGGAGACTGATGCGGCGAACCCAAAAATTATAGGAATATATCAATACGCGAAAGATTGATAGGGAGGAAGTTATTCAGCGTGAACTTGAGAACAAGGTGATCATTTCTCCATGGCTCGATACCGGGAAAAACAGCATACTTTAAAGAAAATGGTATGATATGGTAAGATTTTCCTATTCCTATGGTGCGGGAAATCTATACTCGACAATAAAAATTAGGTATTTTTAAAAGCCTATAAAAATTTGTATAAATAAAATTTAAAAAAATAAACCGGTAATATTATATGCGCTTTTAAATTACTGGTCAGAATTTTAAAATAATATCTATAAAAAAGTTATAAGCATTTAAAACTTTAACAAAAATTTTTGTCACGTGTAACATATTTTATTGGCTAATAAATTTAATATTTTCCTATTGGTCAATAATTGATCATGTGAATGTGTTTGATTGGCTCAGTATAAAAATAGCATATATGCATTCTTATTAATTATACTTTAAGAGATGTCATGTCTGATAAAATGAAAAAAGCAAGTAGTTTGCTTGTTTAGAAAAAGAAATATTATATTCAAGAGAGAAAAAATAATAAAATTACTATAATTAATAATATTATTATTAATATTATTAATAAAAGAGATTCTTAAATTATATTAAAGATTATAATAAAATTAATAAATTAGTTTATAGATTATATTGCATTATCTTACTATATTATAATCACTTATTTTATAAAAATAACTAGATATACTATTTTTTTTATTTATATTATTTAATTATTATATTTATATATTAATAAATATCTTTTAAAAATATTACTAAATTAAGTATTAATAATTTTTTAATATTTCATATAATCATAAATTATTTATTTAAAAATATTATTTTTATTTTATAATTTTATAATAATTAATATAATAAAATTTTAAATTTAATAATAATATTTTATTTATCTTTAACTTAGTTTTTATATGAATTTTAATTCAATTATTTTATTAATATCTTGAACTTTTATATAAACTTTCTGATAATATATATTATATAACAGAAAAATTATAAAGATTATTAGAAAATATCAAGAAAATAATATAGTAAATAAATAAAGTTATTTCTTAAATAAATTATTTTATATATTATAATAATATATTATAATAATAATATATATAATAATAATATATATAATAATAATATATATAATAGAAGTTTTATTATATAATATCAAATTATATATTATATAAATATATATTTATATTATTATATATCTTTAAATATAAATAATTCTCAAATATAAGTAATTATCTCTTTTTAAAATTTGAGATTCTGAAAATATTATATATAAAATATAATAAATTTATACTTAAATATAAGCAATCTCTTCTTTTTACTTTATTAAAATCTTGTATTTTTTAATTATTTATATTTAAAGATATATAATATTTTATATTATATATAATAATTTAAAATAAATTCAAATATATTATATTTTCTTATATATAAATATAAGATAATATAACTTTTAAAATTTATGATTAAAGAAATAAATTTTATAATATAATATTTAATAAAATAAATTTTTATACTTAAAAATTTTCTTTAAGTATTTTATATGTATTATTACAAATTATATTTATAAAGATAGATTTTATCAGAAATTTAATCTATAATAAGTTTTAAAAGTAAAAACTAAATTATTTATAAAGATAAAAAGAATTATAATTTATAATCTTCTAGTTATGTAGTATAATATATTCAGATAATTCATATAAAAAAGTTAGGATATAATATTATATCAGGAAAATTCACATAGAAGATTCAAGATATATAGTGATATTATTGAAATAGAATTCACATAAAAAATTAATTCAAAAGCAGACAAGAGATTATATTTTAAAACTTATTTTTTATTTGATGTATTGATACTTTGATACTTAAAATTACAAAATAAATATAATATCTTTAAATAATAAATTAATAATAAAATAAATAAATTAATAATAGATAATACTTATATGATAGTACCTCTGAAAGATACTTATTAATGA